GGGCGACCGCGGGGACCCAGACCGTAGGTCCTGGCGAGGAGGCTCAAATCGGCAGCCTCGCCGCACGGCGAAGAAAAGTGCGCCCCGGGCACCCCGGGGGACCTCTCCCCGGACCCGTGTCGTGGAGAGCCCCAGACCGCCCCCCCCCCCTCCCCCCATGGGGAGTAGGGGAGTAGGGGAGGCGGGGGGGGGGGGCCACGAACACAGACGGCGCATTTTCCCGGCTGCCGGCCCCGAGGGGATGATCACGTATCGCGAATCACACGGACAGATCCGCCACCCGCCGATCAGGAGACCACTCTCTTTTCTTGTCCATTGCGGGTATATTTCCGGGCTGCGTGGGGAGCGCACGGTCGCGAGCCCGGCATACAGGCGACCCTCCCTGCGCCTACCTTCGATCCCCACCGCGCGGGGGGGGGGGGGGGGACAACATGGGGGCAGCACATGATGGGGGTTTGTCAGTTTAAGGGGGAGAGGCGGCTCTTCTCAAAGGCCTGAAGGTTGATCCGCTCGCGGCTCCGGCGGAGATTCTGCAGAATGGCACTGCGCGGAGGGGAGAACTTCCACTCGCGCATGCTCGGATTGATTGTCACACTGGGGGTGGGCTGATTGGCCTCAGCGGTTGTGTCTAAGAGCAGTCGAGCCAAGCGGAAGCTGGTCGCAATGGGCTGAGTGGAGCAGCTCCTTTCGAAGGGCAGGTATTTCACCTTTTGCAAGGCTTCCGGAGAATCGTCACCGAGGATGCGAAGAGCCCGTTCGCACTCATAGCGGAACAGGTTAAATCTGAAGAAGAAACAAACACGGACAGCGTGAGAGGGTGGAATACAACATGAGAGGAGGCAATCGCGTCTCCCAGCAAGTACAACCTCCCCGGTCCCAAGACCAACTCTTGAGTGGCATAGTCAGGGCATGAGCTGGAACGTACGTGCTGGCCCTGAAGTGCATCGTCACATTACGCCGCTTGACGAATGGATCCTGAAGAATCATCAAATCGGCATTCCGATCGACAATGAACTCACGAAGGAGGCTGAGATCGTACGGCGTCGACTGTTGCAAAAGAACAAGGGAGGTAGCAAAGGGAGAGAGAGGGTGAGAGTGAGAGGGAGGGAGGGAGGGAGAGAGAGGGTGAGAGAGGGAGGGAGGGAGGGAGGGAGGGAGGGAGGGAGGGTGAGAGAGGGTGAGAGAGGGAGAGAGAGAGAGAGAGGGTGAGAGAGAGAGAGAGGGTGAGAGAGAGAGAGAGAGGGTGTATGGGCCAGGCACTCAATCCCAAGTGTATGGGGCTTTGACTCTGCACGCGGAAGGGCTACACAGGAGTCCCCAGTCCCCTTCCCATCACCCCTGCCCCCCCAGCAGCACGATATGACAGCCACACGCACATCATCTTGGCCCAGGGTCTCCTCCAGGGACGCCTGACTGAGAGGCCGCGGATGGATGGAGCTCCGGGAGTGAATGTTGAATGTATGAGCAATGAGCTCATGCAAATCAGCACTGCCGGAGGCCTCATACAAGCTCGGGACCGTGAGCACCGGGGTCGAAGTCAGGGGGCTCGTCAAGAAGGAAAGCCGATGGAGCTGGGCATGACGATAGAAATGGAAGAAGCGCCAAAGGAGCGGTGTGACATCGTCCTGGGAGGCCTCGTCGTCACGCTGCCCGTCCACATGGAAGCCCGACTTGGAGAAGTGGGTGGTCCACTGAGAAGGCCGCCAGTCGCCAAACACAAGTGTCCGCATGTAAAGCTTCATCAAGCGCCGCCGGATGCGAAGGTCATGCGACAGCCGGGCCTCTTCGGCCTCCTCTTCGGCGATGCGCCGAAGCAGTTCCGAGGAGACCTGAGGCAGGCCCTCCAACGCACTCCTCGGCGGTGGTGGCGTCATCCAGGCAAATATCAAGCAGACTCGATCCTTCAAGAAAGTGGCGTCATACTCTCCCGAGTGTGCCTGAACCAGGGACATCCTTATCCAGTAGGGCAGCCTGAGGTTCATGGCGACCAATGTCGACTGCGGGACTTTCAACTGATTTTCCAGGTTCACCAAGGTCGCTCCGACCTGGAAAAGGTCCGGCATCAAGGGGCACGTGCTGGTGTCCGACACACCCTGCCCATCAGCCGGGGAGGGAGGCAGATACATGCTGGACATAGGCAGCGGCCTGGGGGTCGACTGGCCAGCCTGCTCCCCGGGACACGAGGCATAGATCAAGTCCGGCAGGGGGCGTTCCCTGGTAGGCTGGTACCGGCCAACGGACTGAGTCTCCATGTCTGCATAACCCTCGCCCGGGTAGAGGCGAAAGATATTGTACACCATCAGAGTGAGGGCATAGGAAGACAGCCGGGCGCGTGTGGCCCCGGCAAGATCTCGGCGACTTGCCCACTCGCGCACTAGCTGCGTGGTCAGATGGAAGCGCCGGTCGAGGCACATAAGGGAGTTGATGAGCCGGGAATTGATGACAGGAAGGATGTCACTGAAGCCAAGGTCGATCTTGCGCTGACTGTGTCCCGAAAGCGACGAGCCATCGAAGGCGCGCGCGCGGGGGGGGGGGGGGGGGGGATTAGCATAAATCACAAGAAAGGCCGCTGGCAAGCTGTCTCGGACTGTGGCCGTCCCCCGTCCTCTGGATAGATATGGCTTTGGAAAAAGATACATATGCAAAAAAGCGCGCATGCTCCTCGGTCTCGGTGTGGACGTACGTCTGGGTGTCGATGAGCTTGATCATGGGGAAGGAAGAGACCCGATGTTCAACGATGAAGATACCGCCTGGGAATGGCACGGGCAGGATGGGGTGTCAGTCCGGTGTCACGGGCAGTCTTCGCACCCTGTGGGTGTATGGCGGTGTCATGGGAAAGGACAGATTGCCCGATGTGCAGAATGTGGAGAACACCCAATGAAAGGGAGGGCAAGGAGAGGAGAGGGGAAGACAGGCAGGGGCAGCCGAGAGGTATTTGGTCATGGGCAAGAGGGCAGAACGCACACTTCCGCAGGAAGGGCTCCAAAATGTGCAGCTGCTCCAGGTCGAAGGGCTTCTCCGGAATGGGGAGGGTGGAGGTTTGTGCGATAAATTGCTGGTGCTTAAAGCGCATCGTCTCCATGATCGTGGTCAGATCGTGATTGTAGCGTTGCATCGGATGCCCCCTCAGCAGGCCGGACGCCGGTTGGATCCACCACCCGGGGAAGGCCTTTTCGCCGCGCGAGGCAACCAAGACACAGAGATCGATGTCTGAGGTTGGCGAAGCCAGGGACGAAACGAACGACCCAGACACATCAAGCAGAAGCTGGGAGTTATCTTAGATGCCGGAGCGTCCAGATAGGAAGGGGGAGGGGAGGGGGGAAAATGAAAAAAAAAAAACAACCCAGATGGATAAGTGTCTGTTTGTGATTGCATATGTGGCAATGCAAATGGACCGCCAGAGTGAAGGCTCCCCCGCGTCATGCGAGCGGTACGTACATTCGAGGCTGCACTCGAAAAGGGACGTTTGGATACGATCCATGATCGAGTGCAGATCGGACAAATTCTGGGAGGACATCTTTGTGAGGTATTCGCCGAGGGCAATCGAATTCGTCTGGGACTGGAGATGTCCCTCAGGACAGGGAGCGGGGCAGGGATCTGATCATGAGCCAAATACCACCCCCCAGGGGTGGGCGGAGAGCAGGGAGGGGGAGGGGGGGGGGGAGAAATGGTCAACAGGAGCAAAGTGGACAAGCAGCGAGCCGGGAATGGGAGAGAAGGATGGCCAATGAGGGAGGCAGAACAAAATGACGCACCATCCGGCAGAAGGGAATCGTAGGGCTGCCCAAGGAAGGGCCCTCGGAGAGTGTACCGCGCGGGCTTCTCAGGGGGAGGAGCGAAAGTATGCGCCAACTCCTTTCCGAGGAAGAAGGCCGGGGGGCCGTTGCGAGTTATGGTGGGCTCATCTTGAGGCGATTCCGAAGAGGAGCTGAAGAGGACTCGCCGTGCTGAGCAGAGTGCAGGTGTCAGGACATGGCCTCGCAATCCCTGCCCCGACCAGCGCACCTGGCGGAGACACAGCATGCTGGTTGTGGTTGGGCAGCCAATAAGAAAAGGAGGTGGGAAGGGGGGGGGGGGAGAGGGAAGAGAGGGAGAGGGAGGGAGGGGGGGGGGGGGTCGATATTGTGATGCCTGGGCGATGGGCAATCCTGTGTGGACCGGCTCGCCAAAAAGGGGGGCTTTGGTTGCACCTCGATTCCAAAGGATGTCTCCTTCGCGGACGAGACAGGGAGGGGGAGGGGGCGCCGGGGGGACTTGGTCGTTCCTCGCTGCGGACTTCCTTCCTGGCCGAATTTTCCATGTCCCTTCGCCCTAGTCCGTCATGCCAGTCCAGCTCAGGTCCCCCCCTGTGTGGATGGCCCCACCACATTGGCCGGTGCAGATCCGGGCCCGAGCGGGTGAACCTCTGCGAGGCGATCTTGGCATTTCAGCCCCATGCGTGGGCACTTGCCCTCGTTCGAGGGCGCGCGTGCGAATTGCCAAGATCTGGCCACGCCCATGGCACGTGTCGGGTAGTTGAGTTCTCACGGATCCAGTCTTACGTCAAAGGAGCGAGGCTTTGACGGTGGCCATACCGGAAATGTTACAACAGGTCCGGGCCCACTCTGGGCATGAAGGAGAGTGTACCGAACCGGGGGGGGGGGGGGGGGGATGAGGCTACCTGTGCCGAGAGTACGGTAACTCAGCCGGAGGGCGAGTTAGCAGGTAAGCAAAAGAGGAGGCAATTCGCGTGACAAATGGGAGTTCGAGAGGGAGCCTTAGAACAGACACTCGCTAGCTGGGCTGAGGCTTCAAGGGGATGCTCTCGCATACACTCGAATGCATTCATCCCAGGCAAGCTACCAAGGTCTTCTCGCTCTTCGGAGGCTCCCGGAGGGGGTGCCCCTTTCGGCCTTGGATAGGTCGAGGGGTGGATCTGAGAACCGCGCCTGTAGGCGCATCTCCGCCCTTTCTTGGGCAGCCGTAGCCGGCACTGCGCTCGGCGGCCTTCCGCGCCTGTCGATCTTGCCCCGCATCCCCAGGAGGAATGCTATTCAAACCCCATAGCCCCACACGAAGACCACGCGGGACACCCTTTACACACATGATTCGGCTGGGCGACTTGGGACACCACTCCACATCGACATGGCTACGGGATTGTAGGCTGATTCTGACACAATATCACATGTCGACATCGCCCGCCCTGGTCTCGAAGGCGAGATGCCGGACCTTGATCGGCCGACCCTGGCGTAAGACAGACAGAGGCAGCGAGAGAGAGAGAGACAGAGGGCCAGAGAGAGCGAGAAGGTAAGCGAGAAATCGACACCTTACCAATCCTGCCCTGTGCCCCTCGCTCGCATGCGCTTCTCCCCGCCCCGGTCAGGCACAAGTAAGCGCGGCAGACTCATGCCGCGTTTCGCCCCCTCTGAAGGTGGGTGCCATTCTTTTGATGACAGGGTACTGGCCAGATGTACACGAGTGCCTGGCGCCAAAGCATCCCATCACCTTGTCTCCCCCCCCCCCCCCCCCCCCTCCTTGCCCCGTCTCTCCTGCTAGGAGCCTTGGATCAAGCGTGACCACAAGCGCGTCAGCCCACAATGTCCGTCCTTGACGCGGCACCTGCCAGCACCAACTCCCCCTCGGCCGGGGATCAGCCACTTGGCGCCTGCATCCGCCAGCTCCTGTCCCTGCAGCAGGAGCGCGCCTATCATTATCGGCGCTGGGAAGTGTGCGCTTTCCCTCCCCCCTCTGATGCCCTCCTCCGCAGGCCTTCTCCCTCTTTCACACGCACACGCACACGCACACGCACACGCACACGCACACGCACACGCACACATCCAGCTCACCGCCGGGTTGCTCACCTACCCTCCCCCGAAGTGTCTTTCGCATGCTGCTCACATCCAAGCGCCAGGGCCCGTATCAGCTGGAATGTGGAAATCTGATCCGCGAGTTTTCTCGCATTTCCAATTCCATCAATGCCCAGTGGGCCGCGCTGCTTCAGGCGCAGGGACTGTCCCCGGAGGATGTCGGATCTCTGGCTGCCTCCGACTCCAGCCCGGAAACCCGCACAATCGGTCGTGCCTTCCTCCTGTACCGCCGGCTCCAGGTGGCCGAGGGGCAGCGCTTTTCCCTCGTGCGTGTTCGATGCCGAATATGTGCCCACCCGTTCGCCGCTCCTTCTCCCGCCTGCCGCCACCTCTTTTGACATTCCGTCTCCGGCTGGCACCGCCGGTGGGCCTCCTCCGTTCCGAAAGACCGCCAAGATCCACCTCGCCATGCAGGCCCTTCACGAATATGCCTTGCACTTCCGCGCCCGGGGGATGGCCGACCTGGGTGGCGACGATGGGCTGTACGCGATTGAGACGCTCCCCGACCCGGACGATCCGCTGTCCGAGCTCCTCAGCGAGTCGGCCTGGGAGCCCTGGGTCTCCCAGTCCGAGCGACACTTCGAGCTGCTGCCGCTGGCCGAGCGCCTTGCCGGGGCGCGCGACCCTCTCCTCGAGAGTTTGACCAGCGACGGGGCGGCCCCGCAACCAGCCCCATCGGACCCGGGGACGGAGCACTCTCCGCCCGAGTGCCACGAGCACAGCCATGGGCACGAGCACGGGCACGAGCACGAGCATCACCATCACAACCTGGCGGATTCCCTCTCACAGCTGGCCATGAATGAGGCCGTCATCTCGGATGTCCGGCGCGCATGTGATGGCCTGCTTCGAAGCATCCGTGCCTGTCCCACAGTGCAAACCTTGAACCAGGAGTGCGTCCGTGCTGCATTGCCTAGCCCCCTCGATTGCCTATTGCCCACCTCTCTTCCCCTGCCTTTGCCTCTTTCTCTGCCCCTCAGCTCACCCCCCCCCCCCTCCCCCCCTCCCTCCTTTCGCTCGACCAGGCTTCTTGAGTGTAACGACATTGTCAACGAGGCATCCGAGGAGCTCCGTGAAATCCTCCTGGACCTTTGCTGACAAGAGGCCCTCCTTCCTCCCCCCTCTTTGTACCCATTGGCCCGTCCACATCTGGCTCCCCTCCCCTGCTGCGAATGGGAATACCAGGGATCTTGCTCTCGTTTCTTTTCCATTCAGGTGTGTATTGCAAAAACTGACACCCACGGGGTTGGTGATTCTTCAACTTCATACAGCACGGATGCATGTGGGCCGGATGACAAAGAGTCGAGGGGGAAGGGAGGGGAGGCGGAATGCACACGACGCAGCATCCAGATGCCGGCACGGGGGGTAGGGAGGGTGACAGCGGCCAGCAGAGGAAGGGCAAATGGGTGGCAGATGCGCGAACCCAACCTGCCAGGCAAGGGAGGGGGGGGGGGAGGAAGCAGGGGCACACAAAGGTGGTCTATAAAAAGGGGAAGGGGGGGGGGGGAGGACGGCGAAAGAAGGACAAGACGGGGAGAGTAAAGGCGAGATGGATGCAGGAGGGGGCGGGAGGGAGCTCATGGTGGCGGCCGTGGGGAAAAAAAAAGGAAGAGGATAAGCCGCGTCTACTTTGAACGGAAGCCGTCAGGCAGCGACCCATCCGGGACGGTTGGCCGGGCAAAAGCCGGGGCCTTCTGCCGGCTGGTCGACTGCGCATCAGGGGCCGGAGAAGCCGGCTTCGACTGCTCGGTCACGGGTGATGATGAGGAATAGGCCGTCGGGCCGGTGATGTTGCCGGTGGCGGCCGCCAGAGCCGCGACGCGGGGCGACCGAGTCGGCGGCGTTGATGGCCGCTCCGGCGTGACCAGTGGCCGCTCCGGGGTCTTGGCCTGCGGGCTGGCGGCCGCGGCCTCGTCGGTTGGCCGGCTGACAAACGCCTTGGCGATCTGGTCTTCCCCGTAGACCTGGTACCAGGCCGAGTGAGCCTTCATGTCTTGGGCATACTTTTCTTCGTAGCTGCGCAGGGCGTCAAGCTGGTCACTCGGGACACTGGCCACCGCGGGGGCAGATAGTCGGCCATAGGCAAAGCGCCGCGGGGCCTCGGGAACTTCCTCCTCCGGCAGGTGAATAGACAGCCGGCGCCGCGGGGTGGTCAGCCTTGCCGCAGCCGTGGTATCACCAACGGAGGCGGCCTTCTCGCGCTCGCGGGCACGCGCCGCTTCTTGAAGCATGATACGTTCGCGCTCCTGGCGAAGGGCCCGCAGCAGGTGGTCGGCATTCCGGCGGAAGGAGCGCACCATAAAGTCCGCCATGATTCGCTGGACCAGCGTCACATCCATCGGACAGGGGGCCAGGCGTCGGGCCAGCTCCTGCGTGGTTTCAGGCGTCGCATCCGGGTCCAGTCGGCGCCGGGGGGGGCTGTAAGGGGAATGGCGCATGTCTCGCTTAATGGCACGGAGGGTCCGGTGGTACGAGGGGGGTGGGTCGAGAAGACTCTGCACGCGCTGGCTCAAGTGCGCCCGGATCTCGGACTCGATGTCGTTGTTGGACCGGAACCACTCCTCACGAACAGCATTGAGCTTGGCCATAAGGTGCTGATTGAACTCGAGCGCTGCAAAGGACCAGGGAGAAAGGGAGAGGGAGGCAGAGAGAGAGAGAGAAAGAGGAGGATACAAAGTTTGCGCGTGTGCGAGCAAAGCGAGGGAGGAGCAAAGAGACAGGGAAGGATTGTTAGACGGAGAATGGCGCACAAAGGCGGGGCAAAAGAATCAACAATCCGCAAAGCACATACCCTCGCTATGGTCGCCAATCACACGGTAGCCATTCATGGCATTGGCCACGGCGTCCCAGCCACAGGCGATGTTTGCCGAATCCGGGGCCCGCAACATGGCCAACAGGACCCAGCGGTGGACGTGCGCCCGGCGGGCATCAAGAATATCGACATTTTGGATGTTGCGGAAAAGCTGTGGCCCCAAGACCGAGGCAGTGGCATCGTGCTGCTGGTCCGAAGACAGGAAAGCCGAGGGCAAGCCGGCCATGTTGGGATGGGTGCCGAGGAAGGAGTTCCCATCCCGGGGCAGGGCATTTGGCCAGGCGAAGGAGGCCAATGCCGCCAAATGCGCAAGGGCCGGGTAGAGGTAGTGCTCCGGGAAGAAGACATCCGGAAAGGAGATGTCCACCGGCTCGACGGTGGTCTGCTTCAAGTCATGATAAAGACGATGCACCTCGAGGGTGGAGAAGGACGGCGCCCCGAGATACTGCTCGATGCGAGCCATGACCGCGGCCGCCAGGTCCGGACGATAAGTGGCCAGTGCGATGAAGGCCGCTGTTTGGAGGTCCTTATGGCTGGGGCGCTGCTCTTCCAGATACTCCGGAGAGCGGCTGCCATGGGCAAGATGGCGGATGGAGGGTGTATACGTGTGTGTGTGTGTGAGAGAGAGAGGGGAGGGGGGAAGTATGTCGGAGGCGTGCGTGTCCAGGCAGGCGAGGCAAGAGAGAGGGCATGTGAGAAAGGTGTGTCTGATGGAGGGGGGGGGGGGGGGGGGGGGGGGGGAGGGGAAAGGGCAGGCATGTTCGCGCCCAGCATGCAGGGCTATGAGCGCCAGTACGCACTCCAAGTTGGTGCAGAATTGCAAGAAGTGGTTGATCATGGACACCTGGGCCGACTTCATGACATCGGGCGTCAGCTCGGCCACAGTGCTCTCCTCGGTCGGGCGAATGGTGCTGCTGTCCAGCAGGGAGGGATTCAGCGTGAGGCTGGTGTGCGGGTCACCACGCTGAGAGTCCGAGGGGTCCGGGAGCGGGCGGAACTTGGTGATCAGGCCCACCGTCAGCAGGCGTCCAACCAGGAAGGAGTCGACAATGCGAAAGTCCCGGTGCCGGAGCTCCCGAGCCATGGCATGCTCATAGAGTCGCAGTGCGCCATTGACGTCGCCCATGATCTGCATGGCCGTCAGCATGGAGGAGTAGGTCCGAGCATCCGGCTCCAGGCCGGCCGAGTAGCCAAGGGAGTCCAGCTCGGAGAAGGCCCGCTTGATGGCCCCGCAAAAGACCAGCGAATGGGTGAAGGCATTGAACACACGGATGTCCATGTTTTGGATGGAGTCCTCGGAGAAAGTCTCCACCTGATGCAGGTGTTTGTTGAGGAGCCCCTGAGTCGGTGCGGATTCCGGGTTGCGGCCAATGGCCACCCGGTCGGTGTACTCGTCCCAAAGCTTGCAAATCTGGGCGTATGTCCGGTGGAAGTAGGCATCCACCGAGGTGGCGGGATTGGAAACATCGGTGCGGATTTCCCGCAGATAGCGATTGGACAGATCATTGATGGCCAAGCTGGCCGAGCAGGACTTCAACAGCAGCACGAAGGTAGTGCTGGAGGGGAGGATGCCCACCTTGCGCATCTGCCAGGTGGCGTGGGGAAAGCAAGGGGCGCATGTAAAGGTCAGAGGCACGCCCGGCGAAGCAGGAAAGGGTGCGGGAGAGACCGAGCATGAGGACCAGCAGGCCCCCGGCCCTGACGGGCCTTGGGGACATACCTCGCGATAGAAGCCCATGGCCCGGTTCCGGTGTTGGCATGCCTCGGCAATACTGGTGGTGGACTGGGCCCGCTTGGATGCTGCTTGGATGATGAGATTGTAGTGGATGGTGGTCGGCGGCTGCCGGTGTCTGTGCATGTCCTTCAGCAGACCATAGGCTGCCATGTAGTCATGCCGGGCCAGGTTCTTGATTTTCTCGGAAAACCAGTGCGCGTCACTGGGGATAGCACGGACGCGAGGCGGGTGTCAGCGGCGGAGTCGGGAGGGAAGGGAAGGGGGGGGGGGAGAAGAGGGGCACCGGGAGTGAGGGCGAGACGCACCGGCGGGTTGCCCGCTTGGAGTGGGGTCCCCCCTTGCCGGAGGACCAGACCTCCACCGAATCATCGAGGCTCGCCGCGGCCACGGCCCTGCGACTGGGCTTCACGGGATAGATGGATGTGGCACGCAAGGGGCCGCCGAGACGACCGCCGCCAGGGCCAAACCGAGGGAATGAGGCCATCTGACGCACAACCAGCCGGGGCCCAGAGGGCAGCGGTATCGTGGTTGTGGTCGCCGTCGCTGCCGCCGCCGTGGCCGGGGGGCAGGCGGCGGCAGCAGCGGAGCGCAGGCAGCGCACGGCAGTCGCTCGAGCGGCGCGGCCGAGGTTGGGACCCAATCGCGAGAGCATGCCGTTTACACAGGCAGCCGAAAGGGGAGGACTGGAGGGAGGGGAGGTGGGATGGCCGGAGTGGATCGGGGAAAGAGAACGATGGATCAAGAAGGGGAGGGGGAGAACGGGGAGGAGGAGGGAGGGGGGTGGGTTCCCGTGCGGGAGGGCAAGGCAAAACACAAAGTAGGAGGGAAAATGGAAGGGGGAGGGGAGGGGGAGAGAGAGAGAGAGAGACATATCGTGCTCCGTAAGCAGGGACATCCAGGGTGCGGTCTCTTAGATGCCGGCCGCGCCAGCCCTGTGCGGAGCTTTCTTGGCCCCCCCGATGTTGGAGCCACAGAGAGGACACACGAGGGATGTGTGCCTCAGCGAACCCCCCCCCCCCCTGGGGGGTGGATTTCGCGATAAATCACAAACACATGCTTACCGGTCCCCACCACGCCCGTGCCCCCCCTCCCGTCTTCAGAAGGGGGGGGGGGGGGGCGGGGAGCAGGGCCGCATGGTAGCCGCCTGAACCCAGTCAAGCACACATTGAGTCATATCCCTCGGGCTGGGCATCGGTGCACGCGTCCAGGTGTGGCGGTGGAGAATGCCGCCGAGGCTGAATTGCCCGCACTTGCCCACGAGGCGAGTGACCCCGCTTGCCCCCTCGTCACTTTGCCTCTTGCCACTGTTGCTCCTTGTTCCGAGCACGCTCGGGAGGACGCTTGCCGGCCGTCGACCGGCTGGCCCTCATGGCCGATCCCGCGGCCCGCGGGCCCCACACGCCTCGCCCTTCCTGGCCCAGCACCACCGTCCGCAAGGGCCGAGGGGCCCCCGCGCCGGGCCTCGGCGCGCATGGATCCGGCAGGTACCAACTGAGTCAGCCCAGGACGGCACATCACGTTACGGTGAGGCGTGACATCGGGATCGATCGATGGATTGTGCAAAGCACCTCCATCCGAGTTCGGTGCAATTTGCAGGAGCGCCCTCCCAGAGCGAACGGGGACCGGTGTTGGCGGGATCTCCTCTCGTCATGACCGCCCCTCCTGCTGTGCCCTCCCCCCCTCCCTCCCTGCCTCTCTCTCTCTCTCTCCCTCCCCCCCGTCCCCCTTGACGCCCCTGTCTTCCGATCTCGGCCTCCCTCGTCTGACCATGACACAGGCTAGCAGCGCTCCAGAGATCTTCCGTTTCACGGACCCTTGCGTAGTTCTGCCGGTACATAGTCCCCTCACCTCGGGCCGAGGCATTTGACAAGTGTACCCACACCGCCGCAGCTCAGGCCCCTCTCTGTCGCGTCGGCTGACCTTCGTATCGCCATCCCCCCCCTCCCCCGCCCCCTTCCCGCTCCAGGGCCAATTTATCCACATCCTGCTCATTGCCCTGTCGCCCGAGAGCATGTGGGTGTGGATCGGCCTGGATGAGCATCTTGGCGAGGCACTGGCCTTGTCGGCATCGGCCGGCCCGCAGGCTGGCCCCCTTGGTCCCCTCTCAACGACGATTCTCCCGGGCGATGATGATGAGCTTAGCATGAAGCTTAGTCGCGCGATCGGTGTGTCTTCCGCATGGCTGTCTTTTTTGTTGCTCTTCTTTCCTGATGCCGCTTCCGGTTTCCCCCTTCTGTTTTTTCTCTCTCCCTCTCTTCCTCCCTCCCTCCCTCCCTCTCTCTCTGTCTCTTGATGCGCCTTCTTGATGACCACACGCCGAAGCTTGCTAACTGTCCCCCTCGCCTGTTCCAGTTCTGATGACGGGCCGGCGCCAGTGCTTCGCGAATTGCAGCATCCCAGCCGGTCTTGCCTCAGCGGCTGGCATCTGGCCGCGCGTGCTGGAGGTCCTGCGCGCGCGTCTCCTCGAAGCTGGCCTACACAAGTCCTGCTCGCGGGCCGAGCCGGCGGCGTCGCAGCAGTAGATCCTCCCTCCTGGTCTTGCTCTTGGAGCTCTGCACACATCAGCAGTTGCCCTTCCCTGTCAATCTATATCTATCTTCCGTTTCATTCATAAATCCCCCCTCCGCTTGGGCATGTGGGCATAGGCTCACCGATGCCCAGGCTCTCTCTCTCTCTCTCCCTCTCTCTTTCTCACACACACACACACGAGCGAATGTCACCACTTCGCGTGCGTACGCGCGTGCGCGCGTGCATGTGTGTGCACGCCTGCTCTCCCCTCTCCTACCTGGGAGGTGAAGTTGAAGAGGGAAAAGGCAAAGCTGGATCTTTCAAACGTACGGACTTGCGTTTCTTCCCTCTTCAGCAGAGAATGCCTCTCTTATCTACAGTGGTTGCGGTTCAAAGCCGACAGTGATGCGTCTCTGTGTGTGCATGTGTATGTGTGTGTATGTGTGTGTATGGATTGAGATGGAGGAGGGGGGGGGGGGCGGAATAATACCGCACTTACAAACACAGATGCATGTATTGGCCCCAGGTCAGGCAGGCCCGATGGGATCGAGCGACCAGGTGATGGCGGTGTTCGGGCCCTCCTCAGCCGGCAGATCGATGGAGGGGAATTCCGAAAAGATGCGCGTGATGCTCGGATCCTGGGCATCAGCCATCACACCCTCCCAGGAGAGGGGAATGTCCATGTCGTCGCGCGGGCCAGCCAGGTCCGGCCCTTCGCCGGGGACACGAGCACGCCCAGACGCTGCCAGGGCCACCCCCGGGGAGTAGTTTCTCCCCAATGGCCCGGACCACAGGTGCAGAGAGTGAACAAAGGCCCGCCAGTATGGAGCATTCAGCCCAATCCGAGGACCCTTCGTCGTGCCCTTGGTCCCGGTGGGAGTGGAGGCAGGTGAGCCGTCAGGGCACTCGGACTCCTGGGACAATGGCTCCAGCCGGCTGGGCGGACAAATCTCATCCTCCAAGGCCAATGGGAGGCCCGGGGTCCAGATCTTCTCGTAAAGTTGGCCCACACCCAGAGGCGAGACATTGAGCACCACATTGACGAGAGCCGCATTCGGCCGGCGCAAGCCCACGGCATAGGCGCTAAGTTGGGCAGCCCAGTCTGCGGGGAAGCGTGGCCGCCGGCCGGAATGGACATTCTGCGTCTTGAAGTCGACCACTGCCCGGACCGGGGCGAGCCCCAAGTCCAAGCGCGGCTTCAGCACACATACCAAATCCGCTCGGCCACCGAAGCCATACCGGTGCGCGAAAGAGGGCTCCAATAGTTCGATGCGTTCGACATTGTCCTCCACCCACGCAAGCACCTGCTGGCGAATGGGGTCCAGAATGTTGGGCCACTCGGTGGCCGGCGGGCCGCCGATGGCCGAGAAGTGTCCGAGTCCTGGGCCTAGAATGGCCTCCGGGTTTGGGCTGTCCAAGGCCCGAGCCCATTGCCACTCGCGCAGAGTCCCCTCCACCAGGCTGTGTACCAGTGATCCGAGCTCCGAGTAGTGGCGATTCCGCCGGTAGAACAAAGCCAGCGTGTCCCGGACAAAGGCATCCTGTGTGTGTGTGTGTGTGTGTGCGAGTGGGTGGGAGTGATCGCGGTCGATATATCATGTCGGGTGTTAGTCTTTTGGGCATCAAGAGGTATCCGGCATGCCGAGCCACATGCGGGGCGGCCCCCGGAAGGAGCACATACCTGATCATAGGACTCGCGGGTTTCCAACAGGGAGGCCGGCAGCTGGGAGGTCTCCACCAGCATGGGAGGTGTCGAGCGAACACGCCGAGTCGCCGATGGAGCATCGAAGCGGGGTGTCGCCATCGGTGGGAACTCCATCAACAGGTCCATCGACAGAGGGGCAACCTCGGAGGGATCAATCCCGGGGGGTAGATCATCGATCGAGAGGTCAACCGTGCTCGTGGGACTCGCGGCGAGGGGGATATCCTTCTCCTCGTCGAAGGCACGAGCAAACGCCGCCAGCAAATCACCATCGTCAAAGGGGTCTGCCTGGATGGCGGCCGAGGGGCTGGCCGACACAGCAGCGCCGGTGGTGGCGGCAGCACCGGCATCTGGCCGATCTTCGTCCTGGGAAGCAGGGGCAACAGCAACGTCGGCTGCCCGTGGCGGCATGGGATCTTGATCGTCCAGTTGGGACAAAATGTCCAGGAGTTCCGAGTCAGCGGCCAAATCTTCGCCCTCGGGAGCGAGATCAATCGCACGGAGACGCTCATCGGAGGGTTCCAGCGTGCTGGTCAGTGGCGGCAGGGCCGGCTCGCAGGTCAGCGAGTGCCCAATATCAAGGACATGCTTGATGACATGCCGCGGGGCGGGCTCGGCCCAACCGGCGGGCGGCAGAGGGAAGGGATGGCGCTCGGCGTTGTTCTCGGGCCCGGGGTAGAATCGAACTGTGGGGTCATCGGCCGCCATGTCGTCGGTCTCCATGGAGTGTTCTGGGCAACGGGGTGCGTTGGGCGTGGGCGTGGGCGCGGCCATGTGCCGTGCGTTGTGCAAACGGAAAGGATAAAGGGATGTCAGTCGGACGGAAAGCCCGGGAAGAGGCTGCTACAGAGAGGGATAAGAGGAGGAGGAGGAGGCGGAGGGGGAGGAGGAGCAAGCACAAAGCGATCTACCACGCACGTGCCACACGAGCCGTGGCCCGGACAACATCATTCACGTAAGGGGTGGCCACCGAGGTGATGTCCTTGCCAAGGGAGTTGAGCACGGTCGATGCTTCGGGCCGGACCCCGAGGACCCGGATGCCTCGCTGCCAGAGGTGCTCGTTGACATCCAGCGCGGCAGTCAGGAGCTGGGATTGCCGCCACTCGGCGATCCCCGGCTGGGCCGCGATCCTCAGCACGCTAGTCACCGAGGGCAGGAGGCCAAGTTGGTGTGCGTCGGTTATCCGCACTGGCCGGTCGATGCCCAGGGCGGCGGCCACCTCCACCAAGTTGGTCGAGGGGATGGCATCAAGGGGAACCGTGGCCCCGGGGTCGGCATCCGGCAGCAGGGTGGACAGCGGGACCATCGGCGGGACCGAGATGATGGACGAGCAGGATCGCGCACTGGATGCACTGTACCAGCTGTCGGAGCTTGTGCCGAACTGCAACAGCAGGGTCTTCTTCTTGCTGGCTCGCCGGCGTGTCTCCAGGGGTTTCACGGTGGCCGGAGACTGGAGGTCAGGCTCAGCGGCGGATGCATCGGCGGATGCATCGGCGGGTGCATCGCTCGGTGGTTGGGCAATGGTCGACAGCTGGCGCAAGGCCGACAGCCGAGCCCCGGCAAAGGTGGTCTCCGAGGCCGACTGCCAGGTTACATGCCGGCCCACCGGATACGAGAGCGAGCGTAACATCAG